TCATCATTGGTTAAGTTTGCATTATTGTCATGTAATTTGTTAAGTTTGTTTTTTACTGATTAACTGCTGCCATTGTGTAGTTTTGCCAGAATGCTATGTAAGTTTTGGTATCTGGCAGCTTGCATTTAAGATTCATGGCTTGCACACCAAACTCTGACCAACACTGAGTCACTCTAAATAAACTGTTGCTTCACTCCCTAAGCCTCTACTTATTGAAATATAAAGAGAAATTTCCCCCTATAATTTAGCACTTTCCTCTACAGTGATTCAGGTTAAGATTCTTGGATACATACAATTGTCCACTGCGGGAAAACAGATACTGCAGAAAAACACAGCATCTCAGTTCTCCTCCTGTCCCACCACCCCCAAATTTGTAAGTATATACTAACCAAATCTACAATGTACTTATAGCTTGAAAGGTGAAACCAACCGCATTAAACATTTTATAAGAAGTAGTCTAATCCATATGTTTTTTTCTGCATGGAAAGCTAGCATTTTATTTCCATTTCATACTCTTGGTATAGTTCTATCCCCCCAAAAAACAACATTAAATAATTCCTCTAAATGCTCACACTTTTATTTTGTGCTACTCCAAGAGTTCATCTTAATATGTCATTTATTTCTGAACCCAGTGATTCTCAAATTCAGTAGTTCAAAAATAATTCAATAATCTAAATAAATATAATTAACTTATTTTTAAATTGAATAAAAAGTAAAGGTAAACGTTTCTCCTGACATTAAGTCTATTTGTGTCTGACTCTGGGGGGTGGTGCTCATTTCCATTTCTAAACCAAAGAGTTGGCATCGTCCGTAGATGCCTCCAAGGTCATGACTGCATGGAGTGCTGTTACCTTCTCGCAAAAGCGATATCTATTGATCTACTCACATTTGCAGGTTTTCGAACTGCTAGATTGGCAGAAACTGGTACTAATGACAGGAGCTCATCCCTCTCCCCGGAGTCAAACCACCAACTTTTCGGTCAGCAAGTTCAGCAGCTCAACTGTTTAACCCACTGTGCCCCTAAATCCATGAGACCCATATCCATAGTTTCACTGACTCCAAATTCATGGCTGATGCCACTGCTAACTTTCCTGATCTTTGTCTCAGGCAAAGCAGGGTAGAAGGGAGGCAGCTCTACTGTCAAGTTCATCCCTTCCTCCTTCTGCCTGCCCACTTGTCCATTGGATTTTATGAGATTGTCACACATCCTTCTCTATCCTTGCAGATTGGGTACTAATCTTAGATAGACAGAGCTCACACAGTGTGTCTTGTCTCTCATTTAGACAGTCCAACTTCTGCACTAGGGACACCACTGAGAGAGATGACTTCCTTGGTGGTATCCTTGCTTGGCCAAGAGGTGCACACAGCCCGGAAGGAGCCTGTGAAATGATGTTCCTCCCCCAACAGAGTAAGTAGACAGCACTCCACTTCGCCAGGATCAAGAAGCCTTCATTCCCTACTCCATGTCATTCTTTGTGGCTGAGCTACCCATGTTTATTTCAACTAAGCAATAAACCTTTGTCACCTTACTCTGCCAGAAAATCTCTCCACATGACTTGGCTGCCCAGACCTGTACTGTCCATCCCCTCACACCATTGCAACAGCAGGTTGCCCACACATGAAGCCTTTGGCCCCTTAACCTGCCAGAATAGGCAGATCACTCTATGCAGATAGGCTTTCCCCCAGATCTGAAACCCAAGAAGCCAGTTCTACAGAATTTAAGGGTCAAAGAGAAAGAGCTGTTGACACATTTATTTGTAGGCCTATTTTGAAGTCCAAAGCCACTGGACAACTGACAAGGCCATAAAAATTATCAACAGCATGTGTTCAAAAAAGTGATGAGAATAAAATGTTTTATATGCAGATCAATAATAGTGTTTGAATGCCACAGTGCTAGGCTTGACCTTCTGATGATTTGCCAGAAGGTGTCTCATCATCAAAAAGAGGATAATTAGAACATTGTCATGGGCCACAATACCGGGGTGATGACAGTGGATGAATCAGAATGTCAGGAGCAGACACTGTTGATGGCTGAGGATCCTCTGATGATGATGATTATTTGGCTAGAAACTTTTAGAAGAACATTATAATTGGAAGTTATTTCCTCTTTTAACACATCAAAAGTGTTGCTATTATTATTATTATTATTATTATTATTATTTTTCCAGAAAGCAGTTAGTTTTTGGTTTTAATTTATCTATTACAGTTTTAGTACTGCTATTGCATCAGCAATTGTGAATGATTTCCAGCACTGCATTAGGTCCATATTAGGATCTGCATCAACTGCTGATAAAATGCAATAAAATACCAAGTGAGTGTTTGTCTCCGTGACAAAACAAAAGATGCCTTGCTCAAGCGGTTAAAGCAATGAGGTTGTACTGGGAGGTAAAAATATAACTCACAGTACAGTATACAGATTCAACATGGTCAGATATACTGTCTAGTATTGATAGGATTTTAAATATCAATTTAAAGCTGTTTTAATATCATTCAAGTCATTGAATCTGAAACCACGTAGGTTGTCTTTTAGAGCTCCAAAAAGACAACCTATGTCGTTTCAGATTCAATAACTTGAACAATAACTTAAACAGCTTTAAAATATGCGTCATGAAGCCAAACCCTGAATTTTTCCAAAATGGTTTTGATGTCTGGGTTAAACGATGGTGCAAATGTGTACAAATTGATGGTGACTATGTTAAACGGTAGTTTTTTTTAGAGGATAGTTCTGGCTATGATCTGTAGCAACTTCTGTTGTTATATGTTAATTCAAAACATTTTTATGACAAGAGGCAAAACTTTATGACCCACCCTCAAACTTTCCTTGGTTCTTTTTTTTTTAACTTGTAATCTAAGTTTTAAAAGGTTTTTAAATAAAATTAAAACATAAAAGGCGAGTAAGATCATACAAGCCACCTTGGACCTCACTTTGAGAGACTGTAAGAAAATATAAGAAAAAAACAAGAGTACAAGAGAACATGAAGGCATGAGAATGCCTCGTTTTTTCAATTCTACATACGCTTCCATTTTCTATTAAATACAGCACAGAAGTTTCCATTACACCTATGTCCACTTGTGTACAGCATTTGCCTTTATTTCTGCATTTTTAAATTAATTTTTGGAAACATTAAATTATCAAATTAATTTTAATAAATCCCATTCGTGAATTAATTTTTAATAAATCCCATCTAATTTGGAGTGGTTATTCTTCAGTATCTCTACCTGCTTTCTCTTGGTGGAGGAAAGGGACAAAAGATTATTACTTGGCTGCAACATGAGCAGACAGCCCAGTTGCGTCTCTCCCGGAAGAGATAGCGGGCAGAGGCTCCTGGTTCAATCAAAACAGGCACAGGTAGAAGGGCTTCTCCCACCAGACACATGTGCAGTTGGGCCAGGCAGAGTCATCTCAACAGAGTAATGGGATGGAGACTCTGTGGGAGCGAGCAACCTGGAGGAAAGTCTCTGAAATAAAACATAGTGCTGGGCATCCAACATCCTTCTCTTTTTGCTGATCCTTGAGTGAGCAAAACTCTCCTCTATGTAGTATTAGATGAGTGGCAGGGGGATATTTTAACTCTGAGCATGAGAATAGAGTTATTACCTATGGTTTTGCTCATCTAAGTTAAGTCCTGGAAGAATACAGAAGTTGTAGTGTATTGTCAAACTTTTTTCTTAGAGAGTTTTTTTCTGGATTCCACTGCTACGTAGTAGGATGCTAGACTAAATATGCCCTTAGTTTGATGGAACAACATTTGTTTTCTTGATATCAAAAACCAACGGGCACACTGTTTCTTTGTCTAATGAAAAGAAGCATTTTTACCTGACGAAGGTTAATATAAACAGCATTCTGAAGGAATTCAGAAGCTTCCATGCTTCTTTTCTGGATTGCCAGCACTCTCACTGCCTTCACACAGGCTTCCAACTCAATCACACCAGCGTTCTTGTACTGCAAAATGAGAACATAGGAAAATATTTAGAAGGATTATTTTTAATTATATTACTCTAAACATAACATAAAACAAATCCTGTATGCACAGCCTGCAATGGCACAATACTACTCTACAAGTTTGGTTCATTTCAGTGGGGCATGGCTAAGAAGGAAAACTTGTTTCTTCACATGGAGTATATTTCTGAATCTGTGGAAGTCTTACTCACTGACTTTGTGTCAAATGATATTTCCCTGCCTAACCTCCTTCCTTTGGTGTTATGAGGAGAAGCAGAAGGGGAGAACCATATACCAAAGGAAGGGCATGATATAAGTCTAAGTTCTTTTAAAAAGAATTTTCCAAACAGTTTCAGAATTGCATGATTGTTTCTAAAGTGCTAAGAATGACAAGCAGTCCTTTTAATTCATTACAGGATAATGTACTTCACCCTCGGTCACCAAAATAATGGGTAGAATTCTGGTCTAATGATAGGGACACAGTTTTCATAGGGGTACAACTGAGGTAGCTGGGAAGACCTAATCCTGCAATGCTGTAACTTGCAAATCCTTCAAAGCATTTTCTAAACACATTCATAGCCTTAGGTACCACAACAAGCAATAATGTTTGTTTATGTGAATGTCCTTCAGATATCTATGTTTCAGCCCCTCCAACATAGCTATGAAAGGAGCAGTAGGCTTTGCATACATTTGGAAGGAGCGATGGTTTAGTACAACATCTGAATACTAAACTGTAATTAGTATTTTGTGCAATTACTGGAATTGGTATTTATTACTGCTTATAAAAACCTTGTTCAGAGTTTCATAACCTTGTTCAGAGTTTATTTCCATAAAATATAATTTGATCTGACTGTGATGTCAGACTGAATCGCGGTTAATTTTTTTAAAAAAAATATATGATTCAATATAGCTAGATTATCAAAAATGCAAATTCCAGTATCTATTCACTTTTAAATTGTTGCACTCCAGGCAAGGAAACACCTCTGTACTTAACCACCACACTTTAGTCCAAGTTAAATCAGCAAAGTTATTTATTAAAGATTATATGAAGAACACTGTAGCAAAATTAGTAAAAACTTCAAAGTCTATACATATAAAATAGTCCACAAGGTTCAAAGTACAAGAGTAATCCAAAATCCCAAAGCAAGACAAGACATCCAGCACAGGAATACAAGGGAAGCAGGAAGTACAAGGCAGTTCGGTGTTCCCTCACTCCTTCAGTGTTCGCTTATTGCGGACTCGCTGTTTTACGGGTTTTTCCTTCCCCCTGGGAGCCGCCGGGGGGGGGGAAGAGGAGGAGGAGGAGGGGAGGGGGAACCAGGCACTGGGCCTTACCCTGGGGGTTGTCTCCAGGCTAGGCCTCGGTGCAGCCTTCTATGGCGGCAGCCTTCTCCTCCTCGCCGCCAGGCTGGGCTAAGGACACAGCGCCAAAGACCAGCACCGCTGAAGAGGGCCAAAGAGGGTCACGCCAAGGCCCAGCCTGGAGGGAAGCCCCAGGGTAAGGCCCAGAGCCTGGCTCCCCCTCCCCTCCTCCTCCTCTTCCTCTTCCTCCTCCTCTTCCTTGGAGGCCCCGTTGGGTGCCATTGACACCACTGCCAGGCTGGACTGAGGCCTGGTCTTCCGCGGTCGGTGCTGAGGCTTTCATAGGGCCTCCCGCTCCTCCTGCTGCAGTTGCTGCCTCCTCCTTGTCAGCCAGCAGCGCCTCCTCCTCCTCGTCTTTGTCTTGAAAGAGGGAAGGGGGAGAGAGGAGTGGCCGGAGCATCCCTGCTTCGTGGATTTTCACTTATCGTGGGTGGTCCTGGAATGTAACACCTGCGATAAGTGAGGGAACACTGTATACAATCCAATACAAAAATCCAAGAACAATCCTTCAAATTTGGATGCATGAAACAGGAGCAAAAACATAGATCTAGAATTCCCTCAGAAAGCTTGACTAGGACTTGGCAAGAGCTGTTGCCTCAATTACCAGTGCTGACCGGACTGGCTGGGAAATTCCCCCAGCCTCTAATATACACATGAAATCATGCCTTCTCCCATGACTTCCTGATATGGGTCTCTTCTCTAACAAGTGCTGTGACCTTCAGAGATTCTGTTGAGCAGTATAAAGTTTATGAAAACTGAGTCTCCTATCAACCAGCTCATTATCTTGCAACTGGGGAGATTAATTTCTCTCCATCTGGAATTTTAGCCTCTGAACTAATTTTCTTACAGAACAACTCTTCTCTGCACCATTTCGGCACCTCTCTGGAATGTGACCTTCACTAAATGCTGGAGACACAGACCGATAATTTTCAGGACTTAAGATCTCATGTTGATTTGCAGACCCAGAGTTCCCATGATGCACTTCCCCATTTACATTGATATCAGCCACAACCATGGGCTGAACTGCAACACAAATAAGTACACATTCTAAGTAAAAAAAAAAATCACTACTCTTGGACTCTTGTGCAAGTGTGAGCAGCAATATCCAAAATGATACATTCAAATAATCATCAGTTCATGCAATCATCACTTTCTAGCTGCAGACTCTCATCAAACTCCACTAATATAGATACAAAAAGATCACTTGATGGGCTTTATTTCACATAAGCCATCAGAGAAAATAGCAACATTACCTTGCTATAGTAGGAAATGGCCTCTTTGTATTTCTCAATAATATCTTCAGGGCTAAGACAGTTCTTAGCCCGCCCTATTTCAGTACTGGTATCTGCATTAATTCCGTTTGAAGTGAGGGCTCCTACAGCAGAGTGAACCAAGAGATTTCAAATTAATAGTGGCTCCCAAACAATGTCAATAAAGTCAGAATGAAAACAATTGTGCTTCAGGAAGGCCTTTCAGACCTGACCCAATCAGAAATGTTAGCAAGGATGAAAAAAAAAATTAAACTGGCATTTAAAATAAAGCATAACAGAAACTGCACAGATTAGAGTGATTCCCTGGACTGGTGAATTCAATCTAAAAAGAAATATCTTTTTAGTAAAATAAATTGGAAAGAATATACTGCTAAAAGAGAATATTTAATAGAAACAATAAACTGGTGTGAAACTACCAGATTTACTTGAGTGTAATGCACCACTGAATGTAATGTGTACTTCAATTTTGAAGGTGCAAGTTACAAAAGATTAATTTGCCCTTGATTATGATGCACACAACAGCACAGGCATAGCACATCATGGAGGCAGGCAGCACGAATGAGGCAATATAGGAAGCCATGCCCCTCCATCAGGTAAGGCTGCACACAATTCCCAACTGTCTCCATTCACAAGGCCTTGAAAACTGATGGAGGGGTAGATTTGAAAGCCTTGTGAATGAGGCCAGTTGGGAACTGCATGGGACTAAGCGGGGCGGGAGCGAGATCTCGAGATTCTTCCTGGAAGCAGGATTTGTAACTAAGTGGCAGGAATAACTGGGTCATCATCCAGGCTCTCCTCCTCCTCCTCTGGCCACCACTTAGCTGAGGCTGCCACCCCCACTGGGAACAGCCTCTTCGTGCGTGCACACAAACACACACACCTCCATGATTTGCCTCCAGGGTTTCGGGTTCCTCCTGGCCTTTTTGCACAGGTGAGTTTATGTGCACGATTCTAACGTGCCATCAAATCTAATGTACATCTCAATTTTGGTAATGTAAATTAGTAAAAAAAAAGTTGTGCATTAGATAGATTTAAGTAAATATAGTACATAATGCTACACCAAAAAAACCTAATGGCCTTGAAACTATTCACGGTCAAAGCCTAACACAATAAAATACTTTTCAACAAAACTCAAGATGTTAAATGAGATTGCTTGGTCTCAAACAGGGATGGATAGGATGATCTCAACTCATATATAGTTGGCAAATGCTATAAATCTACATTGATCAAAACCATAACAGTTAAATAGAGGACTAAATCCAATTATCAATTTACAATAAAATCAAGATACTCAATCAGTTGAATTTGTATTATTCAAAAATTCCACTGATCCACTGGGTTTATTGTTGTTTTGACTAAATTAGTTTATATCAGATTTTTGGGGGGACAAAATAATATCTTAAGTCCATTCCTTTGAGGAAAGATTTGAGTAATGGATAAGCCTCAGATCTTCAGTTTACTAAGATTATGGGACTAGAGACAAATTCAAACACAAGTCATATTCACAACATATAGGTGGTGGGACAGTTTTTAAAAATGGTTAAACTGACACAACACATTTATAAAGACAATATACCTGGATCGATAAGAACTTCTTGTGCCCCTAAGGGAAAATCAAAGTGAAAACATTAACCTCCTTCATTGCCAAAGCAATTGAGCCTATTAAATATATTTTACAATGAGATGCAGCATTCTCAGAAGAAGAAAAAACACGAGAACATCATTAGTTATGTGGTTATAATAAAAAAATAATTATATCATGCAATTAACATAATCTTAGAAATCACTCAGCACAAACCACAACTATTTTGAATAAACCACGTGGCTTTCCGAAAGTTAGTATTTGATACCCCTTAGGGGTAGAAAAAGAACACAATGCATTTAAAACTTCTCTGTCTGGCTACCCAGAGAAGATTCTTTTATGTACTACAGGCTATCAGACAGGTGGCTTCTTTGCACACCTGAGTTACTAGGTTCAAATAGAACTTGTAAGTGCAGTGTTTCGGTGTATCTCTGTCCCTTATTGCCTTTCAGAAAAATACCACAGTTTGAAATTTGTAATAATTTTCAGGGATGGGAAATTTCAAAATGAGAAGAGGCATCATTCTTTTCCTTGTCTCCAAAAAGTTCTTCTTGTAAGTTCTTTGAAGTTCTTTGAAGGCTTTTAAGCAGAGGTTAGATGGCCATCTGTGTAGGGTGCTTTGAATGCAAATTTCCTGCTTCTTAGCAAAAAGGGGCAGGACTGGATGGCCCACAAGATCTCTTCCAACTCTATGGTTCTATGATTCTACTCTTAGATGTACATAGAGGCCCACTGTGATGGTTATCCATCAGAGTAAGTCTAAGGCTTTTTGCTGCCTAAGAAAGCAAAGTAGTCCTCCTTCATGTCAGGTGAACAAGACAAACATTCGAATTTTACCTTAAAATAGACAAGCCTTCCACTGCTTCTGAAGGGAGAAATCTATTTTAAGGAATACAGAACAGGGAGTAGTACAAATGCACCTTTTTCCTCAACAGAGAGAAATGGCAAAGGGTCTCAAAACTGACTGGGTGTCTGCTACCACAGGATGCCTTCAACTGGCACTTGAAAAATTTGCTTCTCTCGCTTACTGATATTTCCTGCCTTGTACTCCCATTTTGAATGCTTTGAAGGAGGCTTTTTCTATCTTTAAAAATGTTCAGAAACTTTGGGGAATGCAGAGTGATGTAGTCATGCTAGTGACTAGGGTTAGTTGTGGTGAACATATAACTTCCTGGTGAGAGCTTCAGTGGCTGCCAGTCTGTTTTCAAGAGTAATTTGAATGGTTGCTTATGATTTTTACATTAACAGTGATAACAGCTGTTGGAGCTGAAAACCTTAAGAGAATGCCTACCCACTGGACAACTGCGATGTATATAAGTTTGAATAAATACTCTTTAATAACTGTAGCTGGTCTAAAATTCTGCCAGCAGGCTACAAATAAGAGCAAGCTAGAAGGGACCTATAGTTGACAAAAAGCGCTTTAGCCATTGAAATATCAGTTTCAAGCCTTAAAGCATGGTTTGAGGGTTAGATACCTCAGGACAACCTGCTACAACTCATCCCTGTCTAAGCTTAAAGATATGCAGGTAAGGTCCTTTTTGCATCTAAACAATACCAGTATTCGGCAGGCATGAAACAGGATATATTTTCAGCAACTACTTCGAAATGCTTGGAAATTACATCTCACCACTATGATTTTTGACATAGCTAGAGGAGGAGCAGGGGAAGGGGAGCCTTTCATATTCATCTGTTTTTAGTCTATCAATTGGTTTTAATCATTTACTTATGTCTTTTCTGCTAGCTCCTTTATTAATTTCCCAATAGATCCAGGATCCAAGGCAGCTACTGTTTGTCTAACTGAGCTCTTGCAGGCAGATTAATAATAATAATAATAATAATAATAATAATAATAATAATAATAATAATAATAATAACTTTATTTTTATACACTGCAACCATCTCCCCAAGGGAACTTGGGGCAGCTCACAAAGGGACAAGCCCAAAGATTACAAATAAAACACATTAAAATAGAATGAACAGAAGCAATCAAATAAAAAAATATCWCAAAACAATGTCATAAAAACAGCATCATGGCAGAGACAAAATCGAGGCTGGGTTTGGGCTCAAAGTAAGTYCACTGGTTCCTAAATAGAGCCGAGGGAAAGTGCAAAAATACAAAYGATCCAGGCTAGATGGGTAATACCCTTAGACCAGTGGTTCTCAACCTGGGGTCCCCAGATGTTTTTGGCCTTCAACTCCCAGAAATCCCAGCCAGTTTACCAGCAGTTAGGATTTCTGGGAGTTGTAGGCCAAAAACATCTGGGGACCCAAGATTGAGAACCACTGCCTTAGACGTAAAGTGTCAAGGTTACCAGAAAGAGGGACAAACTAAGGTGCAGGAYCTTAGGTGAGGWCWGGCCAATACTCTGGTGAACTGCCTAGRCAAAAGCACAGCAGAACATCCAAGTTTTTGAAGTCCTTGTGGAAAATGGACAAAGTGGGTGCCTGTATGATCTCCCTAGGGAGAGAATTCCAGAGCCAGAGGGTCACCACRGAGAAGGCCCTCTCCCTCGTCCCCACCTATCATGCTTGAGACAGCGGCGGAAGTGAGAGATCCTCCCCAGATGATCTTAGGGTGTGTGCTGGTTCGTAGGGGAAGATGTGATTGTGAAGATAGGCAGGTCCCAAACCATTTAGGACTTGGTAGGTGATAACCTGCACCTTGAATTGGGACCAGAAACTTATTGGTAGCCAGTGGAGCTGTTTAAACAGGGGGGTTGACCGCTCCCTGTAACCAGCTCCCGTTAGTAACCTGGCCGCTGATCTTTGGACTAACTGCAGTTTCCAGGCCATCTTCAAAGGCAGCCCCACATAGAGTGTGTTACAGTAATCAGTGTGTTATAGTAATCAGGCCATCATTGTTTTTATGCGTGTGAGATTACACTTCAGTTTGAACTTTTATTTTCTTTCTTTTAGCAATTTCAACAATATTCTGTTTCACTGAAGCTGGACTTTAGAAGCTGAAATCTGTCACCAAATATTTAAGAGTAAGTGTACTAGGGAGAAAATTATTCACAAAAAGCAAACATCCTGCTCACCTGGTCTGTGCCTATTAGCTGCCTCTGTCGGAGCTGAGCTGCCTTGTGCTCTGCGCGCACCCACTTTACCTCCTGTCCCTCCAGGATAGTGATAGATAACAGAAGCTGAACATAATCCTTCAAGAGCAGCTACAGATGAAAACGAGATATTAACTGGCAGTAATACTACAGCCTAAATAACTTTAAATGTGTATGAGGCATATAAGTGGACCTGAGTACAGATAATGAAAAGCACTAGTAGTAATCCAATCTTAATATCAGTCATGAAGAGAAGATAACATCAAGTGAAATTCTACTTAAAGTGAATGTTTTTTTAAAAAAAAAAACATGGTAAAGATTCTCCAGCACATTAACAATATAATTCATAAACTCAGCTGCTATAATGTTATGTAATACCAGCTCTCCTGCCGGCAAAACAAAAGAAATAATGTCAGTGCTAATCCATTTACTTATCCCATATTTCACAAATAAAACAACTCACAAGACACCATATCTAGATAGTAAAACAAAACTCACAAAATATTATCTGGGGTATTCCTATCCTCTTATAGTGCTGAGGCAACCAGGATGTCGCGTGGGGAGAGGCTGACACACAATCTAATCTAGTGGTTCCCAACCTGTGGTCCGTGGACTACCAGTGGTCCCCAAGAACTAAAATATGGTCCGCGGCCTCACTGTTACTACACTGTTGCAATGAGAGTGACTGGTCTCGCAAAATCCTCTTATAGTGCTGAGGCAATCGGGATGTCGCGTGGGGAGAAGCTGACTACCCACAAAAAGTGTGACAAGCCTCCTGACTGCTGCTTCTCCTTCTCCCTCCCTCCCCCAGAGCAGAGCCGTTCCATGTGGAGCGTGGAAGCGGGGGAGACTTGGAGTCTTTGTTTTTAGGCCTTTTCCTGGGGTTATTTGGCGTCCTTATTCAGAAAATTGCATGATATATGTTAGAGATATATGTAAGAAATTAGTTAGTGAGTGTGTTAACTGTAAAATGCAAAGCACAAAGCTGATTGGTTGGGCTATGCCCAGGGAGCTAGCTGAGCCTGGGTGTTTGGCAACAGGGTCATATTCATGCTTGAGCTATGCAGGTACTTACACAGAGAGAGACAGTTCTTGCTTCATGAGCTGCTGGAAGGAGATTTTCCACGTGGATTGAAAGACCATTTGAATCTCCCAAAAGAACATTGTGTGAGTCAATGCAACTGTTCACATGATTGTAAATATGTTGCTCTGCATTATGAAGAGTAAACTTTTTCTTTATTGATCATATGTATGGCATATTTTCTTTCTCTGGCAAAACAGTGTGTGAGCTGCTAAAACGTGAACTATGCGTGATTTTCATTACTCCGAAAGGATAGACCACATCAGCTCTAGATTATTAAATATGGTTTTCTGTGGGTGAACAGGTAGGCAACTACTGGATGGCGTAGGTTCTGTATCAGAAGCTAGAGCTGATGTGGTCTCTCCAATGCAATTTTCTGCATAAGCACCCCAAATAACCAAACCGAATCTAAAGTTGACCACAAAGTGATTCACAATCATTTTGGTACTAATATTGGAGAGTGGTTCCTGATCAAAAATAGGTTGGGAACCACTGATTTAATCAAAAGCAGAAGAAAATAAACAAACCCTAATAAAGCATGTACATAACTGTAGTTCTTTATATCATTAATATGACTTAAACTATTAATGTTTTTCCTAAACTTGTAGCAAGTAAACAATATATAGACACCCAAAATTCTATGATTATATTATAAATCATTCTTACCTCCAAGCCACAAAAAATCATTTACAGAACGGAGGAGCTCCACAGCCATGTGATAATGCACAAGAGAGTCCTGCAGCATTCCAGCCTGGAGACATAGGTCACCAACATGCTTTCGCATACGACCCTGGCAACGCTTCTTATAATGTCTGGAACATAAAAGACACACCACAGTATTAGTTTAATTTAATCCATATTGCAGTCAATGTGTTTATGTAATGATTCTTTTTTCAATTTACTCGTCACTGACTGGAACATAGTCATTATTTCTTATCAATGCCCAGTTCCAGCTTCCAATAAACACACAGTAACAAGCAAAATAAAAGCAAAGATAGCCATTTTCATTTTTTTAAAGCTGAAATCACACATTTGGAAATGAACACAAATCCTATATATGTATGTATTGTGAAAAGATCTGTCAGTATAACAGATCTTGCATATTGTTCAGCTTGATCAAATAACTCTGCTTATCCTCTGACCTATTCACTATCACTGGATTTTATATTCTCTCTCTTTTTAAAAGGCACTACCTTACCTGTCATCATAGCAAGCCTTAGCAAGCAGTGATATTGTAGTAGTTAGCTCTTTTGGGGAATTTGAGGAAACCTTGAAGGACAAATTCCCATATCAGCGGCAAACTTCTGTAAGAGTAAAACTCCACATCCACTGCATACTCTTTGACCAATAGTAGTTTAATATTACTTTTCCAAAATGCTTGGGAACAGAAGTGTTTATATTTCAGATTTGTATCAGAAAGCAAAGGTTTCACCATTTCAGTCAGTCATATAGACATTTTTGGATTTTAGTGTACAGGTATTCCAGATTTCTGGATAGAGATATTCAACCTGAAATTAACAGAGTTTCATAATCTGTTGAAAGTTGCTGGTAATACCTGCAGTTTGCAGATGTATCTTAAATTTATTGTTGTTAACTGCCATGAAGCGAGTCTGACTGATGACAAGTCTATGAACAAGACATCATTACAAGATATTATAATTAAGAATCCTCCTTAGATCTTGCTAAGCGATAGATGTCAGCTTCTTAACTGAGTCTGTTCAGCTTTAATGTGTTCTTGGTCTTTTCCTACTGTCTCCCACTTGGCCAGAATTAAAATTGTTTCTAATGAGTTGTGATGTCTCATGATCTGGCCAAAGTACAATAACTTTAATCCCTGAAATGACCAAAGTACCATAGCCTCAATTTGGCCATTTTGGATTCTAGAGAAAATGTAGATTTGCTTTAGGGCCCATTTACTGGTCATGTTGCCATAATTTCATCAGCACACATTTCTAATGAGCTGATTCACTTCCTGTCAGCCTTCTTCACCCTCCTATTGATTTGGAAATGGTAATATTTCCAGGTTGTAAACTGAATGAAACATAATTAAAGTGATTTAGTTTAATTTAAGTCCACAGATTATACATGAAAATAAGTTACATTTTAGAAATGCAAGGTATTTAAGATCGTTATTTCTGAGATTTGAATGTTTGAAGAAGTCAAAATGAGAAGCTAACTTTTAAAAAATCCTAAAGATCTTGCTAGCATACATTTTTAATTCCTAGTTAATGAGCTGTCATTAAAACAAAGGCACTGCATAAAATTCGGCTTTTATTGCAAACTCTTCACAGTTACAATTCTTTATTTAAAATAAAATGGACAACCTCTATCTCAGGTTCAAATGGGTGATCAAGAATGCCCAATACACAAAATGTAAGGAAGGAGTTTCCTGTAATACCAGAACACAGCACAGCTTGCCACACTGATAAAGCTTTCATACAGAGAGCAAAATGAAATAACAGAAATAGAACATGTTCAGTTTGTAGCTCTGTTTTTGCATTTATCTAGACTATTGTCGAGACAAAACAAAAGAGATGATCACATAGTTTTTAATATGCTACTTTAAGGTCTAAATACAATTTATTATAAGCAAAGTGAAAATCTCTATTAGTTTGGCTTTTGTGTAACCAAAAATAGAAACCACTACTCACAATCTGGGTATCATACGCAAAAACATTTTATATAACAATACGTATCACCATCCTAAGTTATCCAGAAGAACTGTTAGAGGCCTTCTTTACTCTGTCCCACCAAGATAATAACACAGACAACTCAACAACTCACTGTGAAAAACTTGCAGTTATAATGAAGCCAGTGTTATAAGTATATTATAATACCACGATATATTTGGGAGACCCTCTGAGATTTCAATATCAAGCAATTCAGGAGATAATTTAAAAGAAAAATAAACAATATGTTAAAATGCAAGCATCTGCCCATAATTAAATGAAGCATGTGGTTAGCTAGGTTTTTTTTAAGACTATCAACTTATTTTTCTAATTAATTACTATTCTATAAATTTCTACATCACCCTTCTTTAAACAGCGAGCAATGCTATTTACAAGTGGTCAACAGAGTCATCTCAGCACAATGTGTTTCTGGAGTGATGGCTTCTAGAGCAGTGGTCCCCAGATGTTTTTGCCTTCAACTCCCAGAAATCCTAACAGCTGGTGAACTCACTGGGATATCTGGGAATTGTAGGCTAAAACACCTGGGGACCCACAAGTTGAGAACCACTGTTCTAGAGGGATAGAAAAAGAGGTAGGCACAGCTCCATCATGCTGGCTCAACAACTTATGAAAGGCCCTCCATCCATTCCAGTTGCCACTGCCCTCACCTAAGGAGAGAACAGCAGCCAATGCCATCCCCTTTCCTTGTGTGTTCCATATTTTTTTCAGATTGTAAGCCTGAGAACAAGCAACTTGTCAAACTAACAATTGTAAACGTCTTATGAAAATTGCCATGTATACTGATGGCACTACAGATGATGATGGAGGTGATGATGACAGAGGATGCAGATGAGAGGACCTCGCAGAAACTAACTTCCTTTCCTCTGATGGTCACATGCATGCTCATCGCAATATTAACTTTAACTAATTCTTACTTTTTAATTATTTTTATCCCACCTTTCTCTTTATGAAGGACCCAAGGCAACTAAAGAACTAGGCAGAAATAATATGACTTTCTTAATGTTTATCATACTCTTTCTGTTGCAATAGACCACTACCAATGTGGCATTTGCTTGTTTTGTCAGCAATGTCTACACACTAAGAGGTTTAGTCACTCTTTCAGAAATCACAAGTATACAGTGAATCCTGTACCAACTACAATCCAGACCATCTGGTGTATTTTATCTTCTACCCATGCTTAAATATTTGCATCAGGCTAACATCAAGGTACCTTAGATCAAAAATTATTGAATATAAAAGCAAGCTGAGGAATAATAATTTGAATACTACATTCTTTGAACATTTCACAACATGTGATTCATGTTATTCCTTGAGGTTTTTTGGCATTTAACAAATTCAGCTTCATCTGTTTGAACATATTTCTTTGCAAAATTGCTGCCTTCAAAAAGAATTCTTCTGGACACACACACACACATTCATAAACCCACACAAATAAATCCACTGCATTTAATGATTTAAATGCCAACTTGGTCTATTAGTGTATTTATATTTTTTTACTCATTTTTATAATGACTACGATATACACTAGGAATCTTTCTCAGTCTACTTCCACTTACTTTGTAGATGGCTGTCCTTATGTTGTTCATCTTTTTAAAAATGTCCTACAATATTTGAGTTGTTTTGTTAGTTAGTCAGGTTAAAATCTAGCAGGTCTGTCTTCAAGCCACTTGATGTTTTTTGCTTGCTCTCTATATAAGTGGACCTGCCTACACTCTATACAAGTGGACCTGCTCTTTCAATAATTGAAATTGGTTGCATTTATGAAGAGGTAAGTTTGATTCATTGCTATTTGCTATCTAGCTTTTGTGGTTTTTAAAACTATATTGATATGAATAATTTATACATTACTCAGAATCCTGGGATTAATCTGTGACCATTGGGTTTACTTTTGAAAATAGGAGCTGTAATGGCACAATGGGTTGAACCATTGTTCCAGCTGAACTGCTGACCGAAAGGTCGGCAGTTCGAACCTGCAAGACAGAGTGAGCTCCCGCCTCTCAGCTCCAGCTTCCCATGGAGGGACATTAAAGAAGCTTCCCACAGGATGATAACACATCCGGGCATCCCCTAGGCAACGTCTCTGCAGACAGACAATTCTCTCACACCAGAAGTGACTTGCAGTTTCACAAGTCACTCCTGATATAAAAAAAACCTGAAAATTTCATTCTCATCTAATTACTAAAACTCATTGAAATACTGGTTGCTGTGAGTTTTCTGGGCTGTATGGCCATGTTCCAGAAGCATTCTCTCCTGATGTTTCACCCACATCTATGGCAGGCATCCTCAGAGGCTGTGATGTCTGTTTCATTGAAATAGTCCCACATTCCTAAGTCCTCATAGTCACTAGATCTTTGTTTTCAATGGTACACAGTATTTCAATTTTATTTTGTTTTCAAATTCACATACAGGATTGAATATTTAAATGGAATATTTACTTGTATTTACATTATTTCATATTTAAGGAATTCAATATTTAATTTTGAATTAACTGTGTTTATTGAAGACACCATTGTTTCATATACACATTTGTACACTGTTTTATATTTAATTGTATTATTTTGCTATATGCTATTATTTTCTACACGAGCCCATGCTGGTACATTGTGTTACACCACTGAGCTGCTGAACTTGCTGATCGAAAGGTTGGTGGTTCAAATCTGGGGAGCGGGGTGAGCTCCCTCTGTCAGCCTCTGCTTCTGCCAACCTAGCTTCTGCCAACCTAGCAGTTTGAAAATATGGAAATGTGAGTATATAAAAAAGGAACCGCTCTGGCGGGAAGGTAATGGCGCTCCATGCAGTCATGCCGGCCACATGATCTTGGAGGCTCCTATGGACAACACTGGATTTTCGGCTTAGAAATGAAGATGAGCACCACTCCTCAGGGCCGAACATGACTGGACTTAATACCAAAGGAAACCCTTTACCTTTACCTTTGATTTTCTGCATATTTTATATTTCTTACAGTATTGATTAACTATCTGTTTGGAGTCCTGCCCCTGAGGCCAACTCCTGCTTTGTTTGTTTTGAGAACCTCTCTTATTTTTTGTTTTGCTTTTCACCTTTGTTGGTCTCATTCAGAAGATAACAAGAACTCCCTGATTTGAACTTTTCCAATTTTTTGTGTAACTGTAAAAAATAGAAAAATTAGCTGAACTGATGAGGGGCCAGTTCTAAACAGTTTTTCTTCTTTGTGAACAGGAGTTTCCCATCCATTAACTTCCCTTTGAATTTTAGTTCAAAATGGTTGCTTAGAAGAACAACCACTTGTTTTACATTTCCCTCCTCATCTCTTTTACTTTTGTTTCATAGTTTTTGAACCGTAGAACTTAGAAATCTTGTTTGTCTGAGGAGTAGGAGACAAAAGTAACAATAACATATCTAATATCATAATATACTTCAGGAACCATGGGCTGCCACAAATGTCTTTGGCTAAAGACAAGCCATCCTCTGAACTGAAGGTAGAAGATGTCAATGTGGATAGGTAGAAGCAGAAAATGAATTAATAGAATGGTTATCAGCCAGTATTTGAAAATGACAAAAAGACCACCCAATCTGAACAAAGATTGAGTCCCCTTTGGGGTGAGTCCCCTTGAGTCCTCTTTGGGGTGCAAAAGGTGGGGTATAATAAAGTAAATAAAATAAATGATAAATAGAAAAGCAGATATAAGATGGGGAGGCCATTTGTTTGAGAAAAGAAACAGAATTACAACAACACATTACATCATTTAGGACCATAGGACAATCAAACAAGAAGCATTTCTAGACATTTAAAACCAAATAAGAAAGCAGTGAGACTCGGGGTTTGCAATTCCAGCGTCATGGCAAGGCAGGAACCAGAATGGGAAACAACCTTTGGATCATGGTTTCTCATTCTGGTTTTCATGGAAACCATAGTTTGCATAATTCTTCATTTCCCAGTGGTAAGACAAGAGCAAACTGCAGATCTTTACAAAAAGAAAGATACGCTGTTAATGGATGATTGTGTAGCTTAAGACTCATTCACATGGTTTGCATTAGATCGAAACCAGCCCACTGCAACATACACTTTGTAACCTGTAGTTAAAATAAATCCTGTATTTTTAATGCTTGCTTCTAAATCTCCACTCTTCTTTCCAAACACAGAAAAGTTAAAATACATCAGACTCTTAGGATCATTTATAATGATGAGAGGTGGATTTTTAAATATATCCTTCATTTGTAATTGCAAGATAATTGCATCACAAACAAACCACTGGCAATTATCAGCTCTTGAAAGCTAAACAAGCAAACAACATGCAAAATGAGTTGGCAAAGGTGTTCATGTAAATTGTTACAAAATATACATTTCACGAAGTTCAGATGACATGCTCACTACAATTACTTCTAATTGTAACATCACTTAGACTTCTAAAAATCAACAACAATTATGTTTCATAGCATAAAAAAAACTCAAAGTTTTAAAACTGAACAGATTAGTGCTTAACGTAACTGTTCTGTTTTAAACAAAAGAGAACAAACACAAAATAGCAAGTTCTGGAAGCCAGCAGCTTCATTGTTTTATTACTATTTGACTTACTCCTTCCCTGCTGCTCAAAATGGCAAATAATAACAGCAGTAATAATAAAAGTGGCAGCACTGTCAGAAAAAAATTGGCAAATGCCAAAGGCAGATAAACTACTGTAGAAGTCCAGGCAAAAACAGTTAATTGCTATCTTAAATAAAAACATAAAAAGCAACACCATATTAGGCAGTGGAGGCAAAATAAGAAGGCAGCACACAGAAACTAACTAGCTTTGAAGATACAACATGATCAAAAGCCTACCTTTTGAGACCCAAAAACACACTCACAGGGCAGTATGGGAGGGAAAAAGAAACAAACAAGGAAGGAACAAAACAAAAATTAGAAACACACAAGATTAGGAAAAAATTAAGCAGCTACCTATAGGTAGAGCTACTGAAGCAGTTTACTTCATATAGTTTACTTAGCAATAAATGCTTTAAGATGCACTATGAGTATTATTGATCAGAAGAACAAGTGGCTGTTTATTGATTGTTAATATGTTTACAGAAAGTCACAATCTCACATTTTCAAGTTTGTGTTAAACTATATGGGAGTTGTGCTATTGGTAATCTACAAACTGAAACCTATAGCTTAATATATCAACAACCCCTTAAGTTTTGACAAGATTTGTCAGCACATATTTTTTAGAAAAGAGCTTACAATGTACTCTTACTATTGTTGTAAAAGAACACAAGACACAAGTTTGAAAGAAGATAGGCTGGAAAAGTCATACATACAAGTAAAGAACGCAGATGGTTCAGTGCAAGAGACATTCTAACTTTCCTACCTATGCTGCCTTCAAAATATTGGGAGAATGGTGGGATAATAAATAAATAAAACAATATTTTAACACCTAATGAGCATATGAATGTCCTATTGATTTATGACAGAAATAATATTAAGAGTGATCAACTACCAGATACTCTCAGGCTGTTCAATCTAGTCTATAAGTACTACAACATGGTTTAGTTGAGGATACCAATCCATTTCTCTCAGGTAACAGATAGTCTACCTATTAATTTCCAAGACTAGTCAAGTTCAAACATAGGTAAAACAAAGGGAAAGGTTTCAGCACCATGGACAGTGGGTGGGTTTCAAGAAATTCTGAAGAATGGGTTGTTCTAGCAAAGAAGATTATATAGTTTTATTTTCCTAAACTGCTCACAAGCACACTGTTTCCACTACAAACCACTTCAGAATTTTATTTATTTATTTATTTACTGTCTTTATATACCGCTTTTTTCACCCCTGGGGGGACTCAAAGTGATTTGCAACAAAGAATGGCAAAATTCAATGCCTTACATACATAAAAACCAAATGATATATCTAAACAAAACATATAACTATGCATAAATTCAATAAGAAAAGGATAAAAGTTAAAACCACCTAATAAAAACATTAAAAACACATGATCCAAACTCATAGACCGGGCCATTTCAAATGTTGATTGCACATATTCCATATTTACTTCTTGGACTACATTACTTTATTAGTCAAAAGATTGGTCCCATAATCATGTATTTGTTCTCTTTCTAAAGGCCAGGATGAAGGGCACTGATCTAATCTCACTGGGGAGAGAATTCCAGAGCTGAGGAGCCATAACTGAGAAGGCGCTATCTCTCGTCCCCACCAACCGAACTTGTGAGGCAGATGGGACTAAGAGTAGGGCCTCCCCAGAAGGTCTTAACTTCCCTCTGTTTCAAAAGCAGGTCAATTTGAACACGAAAGACAGATGATCTGAGGTTCCCTTAAACACAAACCTGTTGCTGCAGGATTCCTTCAGCAAACACTGATATTTAATCAGACACTACATGATCACAGCGATTCATATAGCTTTCAAATGCTGACTTAAAACCTAATGACCTCAAGAGTTTCATGACAAAACATCTTTTCTAAAGCCCCAAATGTAGCACTTTTGGGATGTTGGCACCAATCAGTTTGAGGTGAGTCCTCCTGCTTCCCTCGTGATCAATATATCACAGTCCAAGACATTTGCCTAAGTTCCTTGACTCTCTGGCAAGATTGTAAAAAGGGATAAGGAACAAAAGTTTATATCAGTCCTGTTATATGTGCTTTCTTTCTGGGTCCAAAAAAGGAGAGTATTATTGCAACCAAATATGATCATAATATTTATAGTTAAACACTATTCAGTAACAAAAATGCTATCAAAACATATTTATCAGCCTTTTAATCCATTTTTCAATACAATACCGGTTCAATGGCAATGCTAATAAGCTTGAGTGAATGACAACAATCTATGCTATAATTATTTTCAAAATAGCAATTCAGTCTCAAGGAGCAATCTTTCTGCAACTGTAGCACTGTGCCAATTAGTCTATAGTTAGCCAGAAAAGAGGCACACCTTTAAAAAGATCCTGTCTCTCTGTAAATTAAGCTACTTACCTACTATCTGTATCCAGGCCTACAAAATCCTTCTTTTCGAAAGGAACACACAAAAGGGGAATCTTATCTCCTGATTTATCTGTAGCTCTGTCAAGACGTTTGGATTCTAACACAATGAAGAGAGACTCAATGAAGTCCTCAATTCTCTTTTCCACATTTTCACATTCATCATAACTAGGATAGAATGCCACATCTGTACGAGGCTGCTCTGCAATTTCTCCCTGAAGCCCGAAGACAAACAGACGGGAATCATAAAGTGTGGAGCCATATATTTCCTTCTGTAGGTGGAATTTTTCAAAGGTCTGAGGCCAGTCCTTTCCAGAGGAACAGTCTGTGATGGTTATGAGCCCCACAACTTTACGGTGTGTCTGAAAATCCCCCCATTCATTGTTCTCTGGAGGATAATGATGTCTGTATCGGATGTAAAGCACACGCTGAGAGTCACGGACATTGATCTGACTCACTGTCGAGATCCGTTTGTAGATCTTAAAAAAGCTCTCTTCAGGAACAATTCCAACTGGTTGGACTACAACTAGCAGAGTCTGATGGTCCTCTGCACACTGCATATAGTCAGGGACACTCATTTTGTATCAGGTATGTGCTAGAAAAAAGAAAAGAAAATTAATCATTTCAATATTCCTATGCAAATGAGCATCATTTTAAATGTGAACCACAAATTGTGTTTCTTTTCACACTTTTACTTTTCATAAACAAGGTTTTATTAAATGCTTTTGTTCCACGCAGCACCTCACATCATGTTTTCTCCAACTCTTTGACCATTCGTTTGTTAGTTGTTCATTTATTTCAATTACTTGGATGATACTATTGTACTCCAGAGCAGAACCACCTCTGATTTCAAACACCACACCAGCTGGGTAAAATCAGCAAGCAGTTTATTTAGGAATATATGTAGCCAAAGCAGTAAAAAGTAATCCACAATAAAAAGTAATCCAATTGATATAAAGGAAGACAGAAACAAAGAATCCAAGGATATCTATGAAACTGGGCACGTGTCAGGTTTTACAATGTATTGTAATGTAATATAGCTGAGTCATGCACTGCTAATAGGCTTCTATTGGAAATGCTGAGCCATGCAGTTAATGTATATAGAACTTCATTTGGGGAATGTGTTCTGGCCTAGTCCAGGTGATTGTGAATGATGTAATCCTGGGTCTGAGTTGAGTCAATGAGTTGGGAACCAATCAGAAATTGCTATGTGTAGTTGTATAGAATTGTATATAAGGAAGTCACGTACAGTGTATATCTCTCCTTGTGCTGTTATGTTGTTCGTCGAAGGCTATATGTAATTAAAAGAACCTGTCTGCTAAGACAAGATATAACTGTGTGCTGTGGTAAGTCTGTAATATCATCTAGACTGGGGGAAAAACAATGGGAAAACTGACAATGGCCAGGCACGTGCTCAAGTGTCTGTAAAAGGTTCCAGAGTGACTGCAGGCTGTGGAAGCAGTTGACTGAAAATACTGTGCAGGAAGAAGCTACTGGAAAGCGCTGAAGTTGTGCAACTGATCTGCTGCTGAATTGTGAAGTTAATCTCAACAGCACTTGAATTCATGCAAAATACAGAAGCGTATTCCATAGACTAAACATGAGCTAGGCTGCCCTTGGTGCTGGGAACTTGGTGTTAATCCAATGTTGCTTGAACTAAAGCAATCGTCTCTCACAAATCATATATAAACCCTTCCCTGACTCCAAAACTGCAAGGAACAGATTCTTTCTCAGTTTCAGTTTGCTATCTAACGTCTATTGAATTCTAGGTGAGTGTCTTAATTGCTGCACGGACTGTCTCTGAAACTTCTATTCCTATTCAAGGTCTCATTCTCCTCATTAAGTCCTGCACCTGGTACCTCAGAATCAACTTCATTCTCAGATAACTGACCAGAGAACTACGGAAAAAGCCTTTCCCAAGCCCGGGGCCTTGAGAATCCTCTCGCAGCAACTCAGGCCTCTCTGGCCTCTTTTAAACTCCATTCAGGCCCTTGGAGCAACTCAGGCCTCTCTGGCCTCTCATCCCCAGACCCTGGCCCAAAAGCCAAATCAACATCCCCATTCCCATCAGGAACATCAACATGAACATCATTCCCATTCCCATCATGAATATTTATTTATTTATTTATTTCATATTCTTCTATCCCGCCCTTCTCCCCACAAGGGGGACTCAGGGCAGCCTCACATAGGCATCAACGATGCCTGCAATGTATACATCATAAAAATACAATTAAAACAGTAAAAACATCTTTAAAACATTATCCAAATCAGCCAATAAATTCATTTAACAATAATATTAGAGTGCCAGTAAAACCAAAAATCAAGCCGGGAAATCTAATGTCACAAACCCAAATTCCTTTCCGATTGTCACTTCATCTAATTAAACATCTGGTCACAGAGCCAGGTCTTCAGTTGTTTTCTAAAGGACGGGAGGGAGCCAAGCTGATGTCCTTAGGGAGGGAGTTCCATAGATGGGGGGCCACTGCCGAGAAGGCCCTGTCTCTTGTCCCCACCAACCATGTTTGCGAGAGTGGTGGGCTCGAGAGAAGGGCCTCTCCTGGCAATCTTAAGCTTTGTGATGGTTCATAGTAGGAGATACGTTCGGACAAATAAATCTGGGCCAGAAGCATTTAGGGCTTTAAAAGTTAAAACCAGCACTTTGAATTGTGCCCGGAAGCCAATCGGCAGCCAGTAGACCTGGCGCAACAAAGGAGTAGTACTCTTTCTGTATGCTGCTCCAGTTAACAACTTGGCTGCTGACCATTGGACTAATTGAACCTTCCGAGAAATTTTCAAAGGCAACCCCACATAGAGAGCGTTGCAGTAGTCTATTCTGGATGTAACCAGAGCATGGACCACCGTGGCCAAGTCAACATGAACATCAGGAATATCAACATGAACATCAGACATAATCACAGGCTGACATACAACACATGGAATAAAAGGCATGCTTATCAAATTCATAGATGGCGTCAAATTAGGAGGAACAGCTAACACCCCAGAGGACAGAGTCAGAAGCTAAAATGACCTTAACAGATTAGAGAGCTGGGCCAGAACAAACAAAATGAATTTCAGTGGGAAGAACTGTATTGTGCTACATGTTGGCAATGTATAGATATAAGACAGACGACACCTGGCTTGGAAACAGTCTGTGTGAAAAGTCTCAATAGACCATAAGCTGAATAAGAGTCAACAGTGTAAATGTGACAGCTAATAAAGTCAATGTGATTCTAGGCTGCATCAATAGGAGTACAGTGTCTAGAGCTTTTGTGTTTTATATCAACCAATACATGTGTTTTGAAAGTCTATTAAAAGACAACTCCTTTCTTTACTACTGACTCCTCCAAAATATCTTAGGGCACGTCTACACTTGTGCAATCAACGCAGGTTGACACCATTTAACTGATGTGATCATGGGATATGTAATTCTTACAAGATTGATAGCTTTGTTTCCCCAAGAGTGTTGGTGGCTCCGAAAACTATAGCTCCCATGATTCCTTAGCACTGAGTTAAAACGATGTCACTGTAAGAGTAATAGTAAATCTCAATCAACCTCCCCCCCCCCCCTTGCCTCACTCATTTAAACGTTCTTCTTTAATGTATTGTCGAAGGCTTTCATGGCTGGAATCACTGGGTTGTTGTAGGTTTTTTCAGGCTATATGGCCATGTTCTAGAGGCATTCTCTCCTGACGTTTCGCCTGCATCTATGGCAAGCATCCTCAGAGGTAGTGAGGTCTGTTGGAACTAGGAAAATGGGTTTATATATCTGTGGAATGACCAGGGTGGGACAAAGGACTCTTGTCTGTTGGAGCTAGGTGTGAATGTTTCAACTGACCACCTTGATTAGCATTTGATGGCTTGGCAGTGCCTGGGACAATCTTTTGTTGAGAGGTGATTAGATGTCCTAGATGTTTCCTCTCTGTTGTTTTGCTGTTGTAATCTGCAAGACCGAGAGCAAGCCATGAGAGTAAAGACAAAGATCCACCCAGAGGAAAAGTGTTCTTGCCATGCAAAAAGGGTACCACTGACCGCAGAGGGAAGTTGATGAGGAAACACAACGTACAAACTATATTTACAGACCCACCAAGAAAATCCAACAAATGCTACGTTCAGCAAAGGACAAGAGGGATCTTCTCACTTCTGCAGGAGTCTACCGTGTACCATGCAGCTGTGGACAAGTCTACATAGGGACCACCAATCGCAGCATTGCCCAAACACAAATCGAGGAACATGGTGGTTGTGAGAGTGGTACAGCATTTCTGTGTTCTCAAATAAAATGCTGTGTCCAGGTTGGTTCATCAGGTGCTCTGCTATGGCTGATTTCTCTGGTTGGAGTAGTCTGCAGTGCCTTTCATGTTCCTTGATTCGTGTTTGGGCATTGCTGCGTTTGGTGGTCCCTATGTAGACTTGTCCACAGCTGCATGGTATACGGTAGACTCCTGCAGAGGTGAGAGGATCCCTCTTGTCCTTGCTGAACGTAGCATTTGTTGGATTTTCTTGGTGGGTCTGTAGATAGTTTGTATGTTGTGTTTCCTCATCAGCTTCCCTATGTGGTCAGTGGTTCCCTTCCTTGATGTATGGCAGGAACACTTTTCCTCTGGGTGGATCTTCATCTTGACTCTTGTGGCCATACATCAAGAGAACCACTGACCGCATAGGGAAGCTGATGAGGAAACACAACATACAAACTATCTACAGACCCACCAAGAAAATCCAAAAAATGCTACGTTCAGCAAAGGACAAGAGGGATCCTCTCACCTCTGCAGGAGTCTACCGTACCATGCAGCTGTGGACAAGTCTACATAGGGACCACCAAACGCAGCATTGCCCAAACACGAATCAAGGAACATGAAAGGCACTGCAGACTACTTCAACCAGAGAAGTCAGCCATAGCAGAGCACCTGATGAACCAGCCTGGACACAGCATATTATTAGAGAACACAGAAATGCTGGACCACTCTCACAACCACCATGTCAGACTACACAGAGAAGCCATTGAAATCCACAAGCAGGTGGACAATTTCAACAGAAAGGAGGAAACCCTGAAAATCAACGAAGTCTGGCTACCAATATTAAAAAATTCTAAAATTAGAACAGCAAAACAACAGAGAGGCAACAATCAGAGGCATCTAATCACCTCTCAACAAAAGATTGCCCCAGGCACTGCCAGGCCATCAAGGTGGTCAGTTGAAACATTCACACCTAGCTCCAGCAGACAAGAGTCCTTTGTCCCACCCTGGTCATTCCACAGATATATAAACCCTTGTTCCTAGTTCCAACAGACCTCACTACCTCTGAGGATGCTTGCCATAGATGCAGGCGAAACGTCAGGAGAGAATGCCTCTAGACCATGGTCATATAGCTCGGAAAAATCTACAACAACCCAGTTCTCTTTTAAGTCTAACATGTCAAACTTAGTAAGAGGGTGGAGGGGATTCCTAGAAGAGCAGCCCTGCTTGGCTGAAGAGGAAGTGCTTCCGGCCTCTTCCCCACTTCCGCCCAGGCCTCCCCCGCTTCCCTTTCCCTTCCTCGGCCTCCCACCCAGCTGCGGGACCCTTTGGGCGCCCTTCCTTCCCTCCCCTCGGGCTCCTCACCCCGCCTCCTCCTCCTCGGCTCCGGCTCTGGCCGCAAACGCCCCCGGAAGCCAAAAGAGGGAGAGGCAAACAAGGAAGAACCCACTGCGCAGGCGGAGAGAGAGAGAGAGAGAGAGAGAGAGAGAGAGAGAGACCAGCTGGCCGGAGTTGACGCATGCGCGCTGAGAGGAACACCTGGGCGTTCTCTTTCCCTTCCTCTCCCCTCCCCCTCCTTTCTCAAAATTGACTCTTAACGGTCACCCAGGTCACGTGGCCTTTGAAGGCTCGTGGCTCCCGAGCTAGACCTCCCCGGTTTCCATAGCAACCAGACAAGGAGGTTCACAGTGTAGTTGACTGGGGTGGGGCAAAGAGCTCTTCTCTGCTGGAGCTAGGTGTGAATGTTTCAACTGATCACCTTCATTAGCGTTTGAAGGCCTGGCTGAGCCTGGGGGAATCTTTTGTTGAGAGGTGTTAAGATGTTGAGAGGTGTTAAGGACTTGTTCCAATCACTCTAATCATAAAACATCATTTGCTAGAAGCCAGTGCCAATTCTTAAACTGTGTGTCACAAATTCCTACAGGAGTGGGTTTCATGGAATACATGAACCACACGCAGGAGAGAGAGGAAACAACCAGGCACATCTTAACACCTCTCAACAAAAGATTTTCCCAGGCTCAGCCAGGCCTTCAAATGCTAATGAAGGTGGTCAGTTGAAACATTCACACCTAGCTCCAGCAGAGAAGAGCTCTTTGCCCCACCCCAGCATTCCACAGATATATAAACCCATTGTCCTAATTCCAACAGACCTCACTACCTCTGAGGATGCTTGCCATAGATGCAGGCGCAATGTGAGAGAATGCTCTAGAACATGGCCAATATGGCCAGAAAAAACCTACAACAACCAGTGATTCCAGCCATGAAAGCCTTTGACAATACATTGTAAATATGTTGCTCTGATAATTTGGTTCATTCATTCAGTTGTTTCCGGCTCGTGACCTCATGGACCAGCCCACGCCAGAGCTCCCTGTCGGCCGTCACCACCCCCAGCTCCCTTCAAGGTCAGTCCAGTCACTTCAAGGATGCCATCCATCCATCTTGCCCTTGGTCGGCCCCTCTTCCTTTTGCCTTCCACTTTCCCCAGCATAATTGTCTTCTCTAGGCTTTCCTGTCTCCTCATGATGTGTCCAAAGTACTTCAACTTTGTCTCTAGTATCTTTCCCTCCAGTGAGCAGTCGGGCTTTATTTCCTGGAGGATGGACTGGTTGGATCTTCTCGCAGTCCAAGGCACTCTCAGCACTTTCCTCCAACACCACAGTTCAAAAGCATCGATCTTCCTTCGCTCAGCCTTCCCTAAGGTCCAGCTCTCACATCCGTAGGTTGCTACAGGGAATACCATGGCCTTGACTAGGCGGATCTTTGTTGCAAGTCTGATGTCTCTACTCTTCACTATTTTATCGAGACTGGACATTGCTCTCCTCCCAAGAAGTAAGCGTCTTCTGATTTCCTGGCCACAGTCTGCATCTGCAGTAATCTTTGCACCTAGAAATACAAAGTCTGTCACGGTCTTTCCCTCTGTTTGCCACTTATCAATCAGTCTTGTTGCCATAATCTTGTTTTTTTTATGCAAGCCAGCTTTTGTACTTTCTTATTTCATTTTGGTTAGAAGGCTCTTCAGCTTCTCCTCGCTTTCAGCCATCAAAGTGGTATAATCTGCATATCTAAGGTTGTTAATGTTTCTTCCAGCAATTTTCACCCCAGCTTTGCATTCATCAAGCCCCGCACATCGCATGATGTGTTCTGCATACAAGTTAAAAAGGTTGGGTGAGAGGATGAAGCCTTGCCGTACGCCTTTCCCAATCTTGAACCAGTCTGTTGTTCCGTGGTCAGTTCTGACTGTTGCTACTTGGTCCTTGTACAGATTCCTCAGGAGAGAGACAAGGTGGCTTGGGATGCCCATCCCACCAAGAACTTGCCACAATTTATTATGATCCCACAGTCAAAGGCTTTAGAATAGTCAATGAAGCAGAAGTAGATGTTTTTCTGAAACTCCCTGCCTTTCTCCATTATCCAGCGGATATTGGCAATCTGGTCTCTCGTTCCTCTGCCTTTTCTAACCAGCTTGAACATCTGGCAACTCTCGCTCCATGTATTGCTGGAGTCTTCCTTGCAGGATCTTGAGCATTACCTTACTGGCATGAGAACAATTGTTGTATTACATAGAACAATTTATAATTTTTTGGACAAATGGAATATTCGTGCCAAGTTTGGTTCAGATCCACCATTGTTTAAGTAGAAAGTGCTCTCTGGATGTAGGTCAACTACAATTCCCAAACTCAAGGTTAATGTCCACCAAACCCTTCCAGTTTTTTCTATTGGTCATGGGAGCCCTGTGTGCTAAGTTTGGCCCAATTTCATCATTGGTGGAGTTCAGAGTGCTCTTTGATTGTAGGTAAACTATAAATCCCAGCAAGTACAACTCCCAAATGACAAAATCAATTATTTTTGAGTGAAAGACATACATTGGGTTGTTAGGTGTATGCTGTCCAAATTTGGTGTCAATTTGTCCAGTGGTTTTTGGGTTATGTTAATCCCACATACGAACATTACATTTTTATTTATATAGATATTATATATATATGTGTGTGTGTGTGTGTGTTTGTGTATGTGTGCAGTTCTGTATTACTCTATATATATACATATAGGAATACAATATTACATATTATATAATATACACAATATTTATATATATATAATTTATGATATAATAGATATTATATTTATATGTTTGTGAGTTTCTGTATTACTCTCTATATATGAATACAATATTATATATTATATAATATGCACAATATTTTATATAGAGAGAGATAATTTAAGATATAATAGATATTATATTTATACGTTTGTGTGTGCAGTTTCTGTATTAGGAAGCCACAGGGAGGAGGGAGCAAGCTTGTTTTCTGCTTCCTTGGAGACTAGGACGCGGAACAATGGCTTCAAACTACAAGAGAGGAGATTCCATCTGAACATGAGGAAGAACTTCCTGACTGTGAGAGCCGTTCAGCAATGGAACTCTCTGCCCAGGAGTGTGGTGGAGGCTCCTTCTTTGGAAGCTTTTAAGCAGAGGCTGGATGGCCATCTGTCAGGGGTGATTTGAATGCAATATTCCTGCTTCTTGGCAGGGGTTGGACTGGATGGCCCATGAGGTCTCTTCCAACTCTATGATTCTATTACTCTCTCTCTATATATATATATATGAATACAATATTATATATTATATAATATGCAGAACATATATATATATATATATATATATATATAAATGTTCTGCATATTATATAATATATAATATTGTATTCATATATATATATATAGAGAGAGAGAGAGAGAGAGAGTAATAGAATCATAGAGTTGGAAGAGACCTCATGGGACAAACAGTAAACATGAGGCTAGACCTCTTTCCCTATTGGCTCCTCTAGGCGAGGAGGCAGCAGCGCGTGAGGCTGCCACCGCTAGGCGGGGCTTGCTCGTGCCCGCGGTGCCTTGTGGGAAAGGTAGTTTTTTCTCCCCCTGCGGCAGTGGACGGCTTGTGAGGAGGAAACAACACATCCCAAGAGGCAACGCGACGGGAGTGTGCGACGCGGAGAAGGAGGCGCGGTTCCGATCCAAGATGGCGGCGGGGCAGAGCGGAGTGGCGGGTCGCGGAGGCGGCGAGAACCGGCTGGTCTCGTTGCCCTTGTCTCGGATCCGCGTGATCATGAAGAGCTCGCCCGAAGTGTCCAGCATCAACCCGGACGCCATCTTCCTCACCGCCAAGGCCACGGTGCTCACCACAGACAGGGCCGTCTTCCCCTCAGGGAGGCCTGGGCCCTCCCTCCAGGGGGTTTGGACTCCAACTCCCACAATTCCTAACAGCCTCAGCCCCTTCCTTTTTCCCCCCCCTTTTTTCAGGAAAGGGCCTGAGGCTGTTAGGAATTGTGGGAGTTGGAGTCCAAACCCCCTGGAGGGAGGGCCCAAGTGGGCCCAGGCCTACTTTAGTATTTAGGCTTGGTAACTTCCTTTCTTCCCTTTGGACGTCCACATTTTGTGGCTGTTTCTCCTTAAGAGGTGTTTCCAAACAGAACATAGACTCCTAGTGTTTAACTTAGCTGGGGAGGTCAACTTAACTAATTTACGATGCCATAAAAATCTCCAGCAAGCATACAGGGAATGAGGAAGTACTTCATCGGTGTCGTGGATGGACAGGGAAGTGACAGCTCCCTTGGTGGCCAGAAAAAGTTGGAATGTTAAATAGCCTCTGTCTGTCTATATGTTGTGTTTTGAATGTTTGCCATGCATACGTACATTGTAATCCGCCCTGAGTTCCCCAGCAGGGTGAGAAGGGCGGAATATAAATACTGTAAATAAATAAATTATATAAGTAATTGGTTACATCCCGTTTAGATTACTGCAACACTCTCTACGTGGGGTTACCTCTGAAGACTGCCCGGAAGCTGCAGCTAGTCCAACGCTCGGCAGCCAGACTACTAACGGGTGCTGGGTACAGGGAGCACACCACTCCGCTGTTACACCAGCTCCACTGGCTGCCAATTAGCTTCCGAGCACAATTCAAAGTGCTGGTGTTAACCTATAAAGCCCTAAACGACTCTGGCCCTGTTTACCTCTCCGAACGTATTCTCCCCTATGAACCATCAAGATTATTAAGATCGTCTGGAGAGGCCCTGCTCTCGGTCCCACCGGCCTCACAAGCGCGTCTGGTGGGGACGAGGGACAGGGCCTTCTCGGTGGTGGCCCCGCGACTCTGGAACTCTCTCCCACCGGAGATCAGAACCGCCCCTTCTATCCTGACGTTTAGGAAACAGGTGAAGACGTGGTTATGGAGACAGGCTTTCGATGAGTGAGACAACACCCTAAGATATGGATGGAAGATGATGTATAATTGATTTGAGTATGACAACTGACCACTGTAGTTTTGAATATATTTGTTGTTTGAATGTGTTATTGTAATATCAACTATGATGTTTTACCGATTGTATGTGTTTTTATGGTTGGAAATCGGTCTGAGTCCCTCAAAGAGGTGAGAAGGTTGGTATATAAAACTTTGAAATAAATAAATAAATAAGTAAATAGTATTTATTAATTTGGGGTGCTTCTACCCCGCCCTTCTCAACCCCCTAGGGGGGACTCAGGGCGGCTTACAAAAGGCACAGTTCGATGCCTAACAATTACAAAATGCAATACAATATACAGTACACAAATTTACCATATAATATCAGTTATAACTAATTAAAATAGTCAAACAGTATACTAGCAGCAATAAAATCATCTTGTGGTCTATGTTCACCAAATCTAAGTCCGTAAACCATTTAGCATCGTCATTGTCCTTTCCTACTCTGGTCATTATTGGTTGTCTTTGTCCATCTGCCAGCTTACCCGAAGGTCTGGTCCCACATCCAGGTCTTTAGCTTCCTCCTGAAGGAGAGGAGGGATGTTGATGTCCTAATTTCCCCGGGGAGCGCATTCCACAGGCAAGGGGCCACCACCGAGAAGGCCCTGTCCCTCGTCCCCACCAGTCTCGCTTGTGATAAAGGTGGGGCCGAGAGCAGGGCCCTCTCAGCAGATCTTAAACTCCGACGTGGGACGTAGAAGGAGATACGTTCGGACAGGTACGCTAGGCTGGAGCCGTAAAGGGTCTTTATAAACAAGCATAGGGTTTGTCCAAGGTGATTCTTGATGTAACGTGAATGAAACCTGAGTTGTGTGCCTGGCTATATTTGTGTTGTCCTTAGGAGCTGTTCGTCCAGTACTTAGCCACATACTCCTACAAACACGGCCAGGGCAAGGAGAGCAAGGCCTTAACCTACAGCGACCTGTCCCACACGGCAGAGAAATCGGAGACCTTTCAGTTCCTGGCAGGTAGGTGTTTACAAATCTCTGTAAGTAACATGTAAGGCCATTCCCTTGTTCAAACTTGAACATTCTAAATTGTTACTTAATCAGTCACATGTCATGCAGCCCCTCCCACTACTGTAGGTATACAGTGATCCCTCACTCCTTCACGGTCCGCTTATGGCGGACTTGCTGTTTCGCATGTTTCTTTTAAAATAATTTTGCCCTGCTTACTTTCAACTTCCTCCTCCTTGTCGCCGCATGCAGTCTCTTACTGGCGCTTGGGCCCCATGCGACATTGCAGCAATGAGGGCAAAGAGGAGGAGGAAGCGGAACATAAGCAGGGCAAGGAGGGAAAAGGACCAACGCCTCGCCCTGCTTACCTTCCACTTCCTCCTCTTTGTCACCTGGGGCCTCTTGCTGGTGCTTGGGCCCTATGCTAGAGGAGCTGCCGGCGGCTCCCAGGAGCAGGAAGGTGAAGGTAAAGCGAGTGCGGGGACAGTCCTTTTCCCTCCTCGCCCCCTTTACCTTCGCCTTCCTTCTCCTGGTCCCCATGCCGGCGGAGCTGCCAGCGGCTCCCAGGAGCAGGAAGGCAAAGGTAAAGCGGGCGAGGGGGCGATCCTTTTCCCTCCTCGCCCCCTTTACCTTCGCCTTCCTGCTCCTGGCCCCATGCTGGTGGAGCTGCCAGCGGCTGCCAGGAGCAGGAAAGTGAAGGTAAAGAGGGTGAGGAGGGGAGGGGACGTCCCTATTTCACAGTTTTTCATTTAACGCGGGTGGTCCTGGAACGTAACCCCTGTGATAAGTAAGGAAACTGCAAAATCAAATAAGACATACTTCAGGATATAAAATGACATACATAGGTGGTTTCCTCAAACAACTGGTCCTTTCATGTTTGCATTCTGGAAGTGAAAAATTCCCAGATTCTATGTTTTTTGTTTGTTTTTTTCATGTCAGGAGGGACTTGAGAAACTGCAAGTCGCTTCTGGTGTGAGAGAATTGGCCGTCTGCAAGGATGTTGCCCAGATGATTTGTTATCATCCTTGTGGGAGGTTTCTCTCGTGTCCCCGCATGAGGAGCTGGAGCTGACAGAGGGAGCTCATCTGCGCTTTCCCCAGATTCGAACCTGCGACCTGTCGGTCTTCAGTCCTGCTGGCATAGGGGTTTAACCCACTGCGCCACCGGGGGCTCCATGGTGAACCTTGAAGAGATCATAAGACTTTGCTACAACAGAATCTCAGTTATCCAACATAAACGGGCCAGCAGAATGTTGGATGAACAAAAATGTTGGATAATGAGGGATTAAGGAAAAGCCTATTAAACTTCAAATAACATTGTTTTTACAAATTAAGTACCAAAACATCATGTTTTACAACAAATCTACAGAAAAAGCAATTTAATACATGGTAATGTTCTGTAGTAATTACTGTATTAACAAATTTTGGACCAAAACATCGCAATATATTGAAACAGCTGTGGATCTGGGCGGGAGACAGGCTGTGTTGGATAATACAGAGCGTTGGATGAGTGAAGGTTGGATAAGCAAGACTCTACTGTATTTTAGAATTATTAGAATTGTACAATTATTGGAATTGGATTAGAAATGTACTCCATTGTAATACTATAGTGATGCTCTTCCAGATATCCTACCAAAGAAGATCTTAGCAAGTACATACCTTAAAATGCTTGAGAAGGAAAAGAAAGGAGAACAAGAGGAGGAGGAGGAGGATGAAGAAGAGGAGGATGAAAGTAGTGAAGATGAAAGTGAAGACGAAGACACGTCTTGAACGTGAGAAGTGATGCTGTTCATCCCAGGTTGTTTCATAAACATTTTGATATTATTTCTGGCCAAGCCCATTCCTGCAGTGTCTGCATTGATTGCCAAGTGAAGAAGTGGGATTCTCAAGCTGCTTTAACTACCCTTTTTCTAGAGACTTGACTGTGAAATTTCTTTTACATCCTACAAACTATAGCACTTCAGACAGTAAGTGTTCTTGTCAGAAGGATAAATCCATTTTCAGTTCAGAGGCCTCGCATTCTTTGCCCATATTGGGCAAACTTCAAAAATTAAACTATTTTTTACTTACCAAACAATGGCTCTTCCCTATGAGCTGCAAGGGAATTGCTTTGCTTCTCTAAAAGGGAGCTGTCAATGTAGCAGTTTCAAAGAAGCCAGGCTACGTTTGTTTAGGATTTATTTGTTCTGAATGTAGTAAAAAGGATTGTGTGGCCTTAAAGGAAAGGAAAACCACGACCCTGCTGCTTCAGGTCAATATGTATATTTGGTTAATATGTTTACTTGGAAGATTTTGAGTAGAGAACTGACAGAAGACATTCTTGTTTTTGATAATGAGATTTGTATAATAGATTTGAGTACCATTTGAGTAGAGGAGCAGTATGTTTGTGGCCACAGTGGAAAGAGTTGTAGAAACTGCGCACATCTAAGATAGTGCTTGTTGTATAAGTGCAGGTGAGTTGAGACTTTATCATTCAAGGTCACATATTTTGTATGCCTACACAATTATTTCTCTTATTAAAAAACTCCTTAAACCGTTTGAGAAATAAGGTGCCATGATAGATGTGTTTTCTCTCTCTTTTAATTACCTATATGGTGTGCTTGTAAAATCTGGGTTGTGTGGCTGAGGGGCAAGTGTTGATATTGTGAGCGAGAAGACAGCGCTTCGTGGTGGCAAATTTCAAATTTTTGGATGGCAAATTAACTGCCACAGCTCAATGGCACGGGATCATAGGAGTTGTAGTTTACAAGGTCGGCCTTTACCCTTCTCTGCCGAAGAGTGCTGGAACCTCACTAAACTACAAGTCCCAGGATCCTATAGCATTGAGCCATGGTAGTTAAAAGTGGTGTCGAACCTAATTTATTCTACAGTGTTGATGCAGGCGTAATATCTTCGTGGAAGTGTTTGTGGAAATCAGTCATCCCACGGGCAAACTTGGGCCCTTCCAGGTGTTTTGGACTTAATAAACTTAAATAATAAACTTTATTTATACCCTGCCACCAATTCCCTTCAGGTGGCTAACAAAAGCACTGGGTGCCACACATAAAATAATACATAAGCATATAAACAATGATAACAACTCCCACAATTCCTACCAGCCGGTGTTGTAGGAGTTGAAGTCCAAAACACCTGGAGGGCCCAAGTTTGCCCATGCTTGCTTTAGGTTATTACTCTGGCAACTAAAATTAATAAGAGGAAAAAAGAGGATACATTTGAACTTGTAAATATGAGTAATTTATTGACATACTATGAGGCAGAAACAAAATTGACACCATACAAAATAACTTTATAAAATATCATTCACATATTTCATCAAGATTTACAGCATTTTGAGCTCGTTACATATGTAGTATGGAGGTAAAAACACTACGCTAAGTCTTTAGTAGTAGTTTATAATATATACACACACATACACAAGAAACCAAATAAAAATAAAAACAAATGTTAGTTTGTCATGAGTTTATTGCAGAAGGTAGTGCAAAGTATTTTTACTAGCAAGCTGTAAAACAAAACGTGGAAAAAGGAACCCGTGAAGCTTAAAAACAAGACAATAGATGTTGAATTTTTTCACAGTCTTCCGGAGCTTCCTTCAAGAGTCGCTCTCTTCCTCTCACCCCAACAGGAATGAATGAACGAACTAACTCCCTTTGCAATGTATCTGAGGAACCATGGACTATTGCAGAAGTTCAATCTGGTGCATACAAGCAACAGGGATTGTTGCTTGGGGTCACCTTGATACAACTTCAAATTTTGGGGTTTTGCAGAGGTGGCTTAACACTTTGGCTCAGGCTCCCAGCTTTTCCTCACCTTTATTAGCTTATCTCTTGGTCAAGATATAATAATTATTATTAGACTGCTTCTCTTGAGGTTGGAAAGCAACAAGCATCACCCCTTCCTGCTGTTTCGTTCTTGTTGTGTTATGATAAAGCAAGAGGCAACATATATTGTCTGTTTTCAAAGCTGAGGAACCTTTTTCTCAAAATCCACTCTGTAAAAACAGTCACTACATCCTCTACGGTACAATGCAGGGCAGACTTGATATCAACTACTGAACACACAACCAGTAAAGGATAAGAATCTCTAACCAAAGTGAAGAGAGAGACCGACTCTCCAAGTTCCTTAAGGGGATCGAACAAATACAAATTAAAAGCCAGGTAGCCAGTAACAACAATAAAACTAATGACAGCCAAACGCAATGCTCTATGAAATAAAAAGGAACAAAATGCAGCATATTCAGGCTCTTGTTTCAATCTTGAGGTACCTGTAAGTCTTACCATCTGCCCAAAAGTACTATGGTACATTAAAAAAAAACATGTTACAGTTCTTTACCATCAGCCAATTTATCGGACATTATTACTGAGAAAGTGCAACAATGCTGATCGCTTATATGCAGCATATTAAAAGGATGGTTACTCTTTTATAAAATATAGCTTTACTTATAGACCCATCGGGACAGTTTTTTTGTAATACACACATTTTTTTCCTGTTGATTTGAGTCTCTCTGCAGCAAAACAAAAAAAAATTCTCCTTTCGGGTATAGCTTAAATCCTGTCATTTAGGAATGTTGGTGCTCTGTTTTTGTTTTTTGCTCTTTTTTTTCAGTATTAAAACTAAATAGTATTTCACAATTTTTCCATGCTGTATTGGTTTATTGTTTTTATAAAGTCAGATCTCCAATCTTCAAAAAACAATAATATATTACAACTCAGTCTCCAAAAAACACAAGTAAAAAAAGTTTTTATATAAAAGGGTATCCAAACTGTTAGATATAAAAGCATGCAGAAAGTTAACTTGATGTTCTTCTTATTCCCTTACCTGACATATGCACACACCACTTCCACTTTTTTTCTCTCTCCTTTTTTCTTACATGTATATATATACACAGCTTAGGTATAGTAGCTAGATATACACACACTTCCACACACATTCCAGGCTCTCCTATGGAAAGTTTCTGAAAAGATCAAAACCCAGCTGTAATAAGCTGATATGCATGAGCTTTGGATGCTTCTTTCACATATTCCAGGAAGCCACAGTTGATGAGTTTCCCTTTATGTCCAAATCAGAAACTTGCCGTATTTACCAGGCATGGGAAAACTTCAGGCTTCTGGGTGTTTTGAATTTCAACTCCCACAATTCCTAACAGCCTACCAGCTGTTAGGAATTGTGGGAGTTGAAGTCCAAAACACCTAGGGGGCCAAATTTTGCCCATGCCCAATGTAGACATATACATAAGTACATAGGGTAGGCTGATAGCTCCCAGAAATGCCAGCAGATGGAAGCAATCATAAAACTATTATCGGTCTTGCTTGGGACCCTTCCACATAGCCCTATATACCAGAATATCAAGGCAGAAAATCTCACAGTATCTGCTTTGAACTGGGTTATGAGTCCACACTCAGATAATGTGGGATTTCCTACCTTGATATTCTGGAAGAGCCCTTGGAAACCATTAGCCTAGTTTCCTCGTTTGGACGTAACGGGAAACTGGTTCTTTGCAGCTTCCCATCTTGCCTTATTGCTCAAACCAAAAAGAGCACAGGCTGCCCGTACTTATTAAGCTAAGGTTTCGATCATCCAAATGTGACCAGAGCCTCTCCTGTTGAAACAGAGGAAGCAGATCTGCTCCCTTCACAGAAATAGGCGAGGTGTCCCACATACAAAGCTTGGTTTGCACATCCCAAGAATAAACTTCCAAGCAACTTTCTCCCAGCAAACAAGACGGTCCACCAAGCATAGTGTATATATATATGGCCACGCATATATGCATAGAATAGTTTGGACTCTAAGTATTAATGTTTTCTTCCTATCTTGGTTTGTCTAAAAAAAATCCCTCCACGTTACAGGCATTCAATTTATGCTGTTTTATTTTTTAAATTTCATACATGAAAAATATACTTTCATATTTTTATTTTTTTACGAAACCGAACACAGTTTTCAGGTTTGCTGTTTAAAAAGAATTTTACTTCTCGTATAGGAGTTATGACTTGATTTTGCTATGCATTGGGACTCAACGCAAAAGGCACAAATAAGAAATTAAATGCATTTTCTTTTTTTTCTATAACGCAAGACTCCTCCTGCAAAGGCGACCCTTGCCTTCGGAGCACAAGTATATCATCACATATTGTTTGGTCACTTTGGACAATCTCAAATGTTGAATTTGAATAAAATTAGCACCCAACTGCTTCGTCTGAGGTAGATCCAAACTGGAAAGAGAGCTGGGTCCCCTGCTGCCCATGTTACCATTAGTCTAAATAGCCTTGAAGACAGAATGATTCTATGTCAGTTACAGGATGAAAAGGAAAAATCACTATTGCAGAGTTTTCAGCATATTTACATTTTTCTTATATAGTCAGACTTCTCTTTCACACAACTACGCTCCAGTTGGGGGAATGAATCTGTATCTATATTAATCCCCTAGCCCTTTCAAAAGGATTTTTCTCCACATCTCAGGATTATGTTTGGATCAACAGCACGGCTGCATCCTGGAACTAAACTCAGGATACATAAATTCTGTAAAAATTGGAAAAGGATGAGCAGGCAGCCGGCAAATGCCTACACTGCCTCCTCAAAAACTTAGCTTGGTTTTAAGGACAGACCATTTAATTTTGTTTTGTCTTTAAAAAAAACCTCTCTTGTGCCTTCATAGGAAATGGTCTAGTCTTAACTAAATTAATGTTTTTGCATATTCTGATCTTGGACGAGTTTAATACATCTGTTAAGGCTTACGTTAAGAAAACATCACCACATAGCATCAAGTAAGCATGTCACTGGAAATTAAGGTACATATACTGCATTAACACTAGTTCTCACACTTGGAAC